TCCCGGCCCCTTCCGTTTAGTAGGAGCCGCACAATGAGGGGCGGGGCGGGCTTCCGGCGCGCGCCCTCGGGGCCGACGGGAAATGAAGTCCGAGGGTTCTGCGAAGGCTTGGGGCTCAGAGGCTAACTGAGACGTTCTCGTTTGCCGGCCTCCGGGCTCCGCACTGCATGCTGGGAGATGTAGTTTGAAGCAGCCAAAGCGGCCAGGGCGAACGGAGCGCACTCCCATAGGTGGAGTTTCTCAGGAAACGCTCCACGCTGAGCCTTAGGCCGTGGTGCATCTTAAGGATGACACAAAAACGAACCCCGAATTGACGGCCCTTCACCCTGAAATTAAACGGATTTTGTAAACATTATCCTGGCACTTTCTGGACCCCTTTGCATATTTTGCATGGAACTAGGAGTTCGTTTTTCTGAATTGAAGCCACTGCCTATTGGACTGGAAACCAGTCTTAAGAAGCAGCCCAAGCCAATAAGCAAAACACTCCAGGCACCTCCGTGTGCAAAGCCATTCTTGTCTCATCAGAGAACGTATGCAACTTTAGTTAAATAAAAACCAGGGGAAAGGTTATAAGGAAGGGTGGGGCCGTAAGCTTTGGATTTTGTCCTTGTTCAGAGATGGTTGGCATACATCATTCACTAGTCGGTAATGGGGGCTGGGGGCTTGTGCGTTTTCAACTCAAGGACTCTATTTTATCAGGCACCAAGGAAATGGCGATTAAACAGAACTTGAGCCTTGTTCAGGTTTATAGCCAGGTACATGAATAAACGATCGATATATGGCCACAAGATTGACCTACAAGATCTGTGAGCGTCTAAAGCCTAAGTACAAAGGAGCTGTCTGGGTTGACGACCAGGGCCTCACTCTTGCAAACCATCCACAAGCCTCCCCACAAAAGGACCTGGTAACCTGGGTGCTATAAATGGGGTCTCTCTTCACGACCCCAAGAACGACGCCCGGGAATGGGGTGCCCCGTAGAGCATGCCGGGGATTGTAGTCGAGGGCAGCCGCAGCACCACCCACCCGCCAGCTAGAATCCCCAGAACACCAGGTGGAGGCTGCAACTAGACCCCTGCCTCTCGCCAGCGCCCCAGTCAGAGGGGAGGCTGGCTCCACCTTTATTGAGCCTTGGAGTTTCCAAGAGAAACAAGGAGGGGGAAGGGGGCTTTGCAGTTACCCTGGAGACGCGCTGCTCCCGCCCGCCCCCAGCCGCAGGATGCCCTAGATGTCCTTATTAGGACAAGAGACTGGAGGGGGCGGAGCAAACCCGAACGCTGGCTCCAGACTCCTTATAAGGCTGTGTCGGGTGGGAGGCCGGAGCCGGCTGGGGACGCTGGATCGCTGGCTGGGCGGGGTCTGGCGGTGGGCAAGGCGCTCTTTCATCGGCCGCTAGCTAGCTGAGACTCGTGGCTTGCAGCGAAACAGATGGAGGCCTAGCCCGAGGCGAGACGCTGGTGGTCCAACCCGCCCTTCCACCTGGGACCTTGGCAGAATTTCCATGTTCAATCAATTCCCCGAGGGTTCCCCATCTCCAGCGCGGTTCTACTTCTGCCTGAGATTCTCACCCCTACCTGCTCCCCCGGCTTCAGCCTCCTCCCACGTAGAATCCCCTTTGTACCACTTTTCTGGCTCTCTGGTCCTCGTAGCTTGTTTCCCTCCTAGGCCCAACTTCGCGCCTCCCATTGGCTATCACCATTTCCTCTGGAGCGCCTTCACCTCCGCCTGCCTTTAGTTGAATCCTCACGCCCAGGAGACCCTCCTGCATGTCCCATAAAACTGTTCCCATCTCTTCCTCTCGCAGATATACCTAATCCTCCGTCTCCCTGGGCGTTTTTCAAGCCCAGTCCCCCTGCTCAGCCGCTGCACAAGACTGAGGCTGACCCTGACAGCCAAACCTTAAAGCAGCTAACCTCGGATGGCTCCGTTAGACACGTCCTCCCAGCCACAGGGGGCGCTGTCGGCCCTCCCCCCGCCTGCACGCAGAGGGGACCTTCCCGCGCTCGAATGCGGACTGGGAGGAAGGGGCGGGGTCTAGGCCCCAGGGACCTGGGTGGGGCGCGTCCGAAGGTTGATTCGGGCCAGTGGGCCGCAGCGCAGGCGAAG